TCGCATTCGCATTGGAAAATGGACCGGGTCAGGCTGCGTGCGTATCATGGAAAATTTTCCGGGCCACCCGTCTTCTAGTTCGGAGACATGAACCCGAGCCTTGTTCGGGCACCCCTTAAGTGATGATGGTTTGGTGGTTGGGAAAGCATCCAAACCACCGATTACAGTGAAGCTGACATTAAGTAGCCGTGAACCCAAGCCCTTGTAGAAAAACTATATCTACGAGTCTCCTGAGGTTTGCTTGGTGGCCTTCAACCCGGTCCTCGGCAAAGGTGCCTGGCGCTTGCTGGGCCACGCGGAGGTAAGAGTGAGCCGCATGAGCCGCGAGGAGACGCAGCTGCCGGAGGACGTGGGCAAGGTGTTTCGTGAGCTGAAGAGGTGGGCCGTCCATTTGCAGCACGGCTCCTGGGCCTCCAAAGCGGGCTGGGTTTTACATATCTTTAAATCAACAAGGAGATGCATTTTTCGATTTTCGGCGACCCTCTGTTCACCAGCGCATCCTATTTGGGCCCGTAGCCTCTAGCCGGCTACGCCTCTTTGAAGTTATTATACCACGTCATGTCATATTTTTTGTATGAGAAACGTACCCTGTGCTATGATATGGCTCGTTAGGTTATGCATGTTGCCCACCCCAACCCCAGATGATGCCGGGGATGCCAGCTTTCTGGGCCCCAGCCGGGCCCCAACCCAGAAGGCTGACATGGGGTCGCGCGCGCGCGCCAGAGGCCCCAGAAAGAGCAGCCCAAAAAGAGCAGCCCGCAAGCCAGCCCGGAAACGCAAATGCTACAACACACTGTAAATAGCAGCGTTTTGAGGCTGGGATCTTTGGCGCGCGCGCGCCAGAAAGCCCGAAAACCAACGGGAAAAAAGCAAGGGCCGCGGAGCACGCGGGCCAGCCACAGCAAAAGCAAAACGGACAGAAAAACAACCCACCGCTCAGCACAGCAGTTTTTGACAGTATTTACAGCGTTTTGTAGAAGCATCTCCGGCATGCCCGGCAGCGCTTGGCGCCAAAATGCGCGAAAATGAGCCTCGCTTATATCCCTCCGATACCTTCTAAAAAACAGTGCTTCATGGGTTGAGAGGCTTTTTGGAAGGAAGTCTTGATGATGCAGACCAAGCCCTGAAGCATCACCCAGGCCGCCTAAACCCTGCGTATAATTACGCGATGTTTTGCGAGGGTTTCCCACAGGCAAGCAAAACCGCAAGCCCGAGCTGGTGATGCAGAGGTGCCGGATTTAGGCAGCGCATCACGACCAAGTGGCGAGGGGCGGCGGCACCAGGGCAGCCCCTACAGCTAAAGCTAGCAGGCTAATTGCCTAGCGGCGACATGCTACCCCAGGAGGCGTAGCCGGATCTAAGGGCTGCCGCCCCGTGCCGCCGCCCCCAGCTTGCTTATAATAATTATGACTACGTGTTTTTTTGCCGGGTTTAACGGCACACTTAAAGCATATATGAAAAAGAAGAAACAAGCCAGTGCAGGATTCATTCGCATGATGCTGTAATGAGCATCTTGTTGGATGTTACAAGAAGTGCCCCCGGTGTGTGGCAACTTGGGCAGGAAAACCACGTTGGGGGCACTTTTTTTGTTCACAAGACTTCGTTGTATTGCTGTGGATGCAAAGAGTGGACGTGTCATCGCTTCGTGTTCGCGAGAAGCATCACCGACTACGCATCCCCTGCATTTCCAGTCGGGTCATGATGATGATGATGATGATCCTGATGATATTCATCACTACGCATCCCCAGCATCACCAGCAGTGATCATGACAATCATCACTACGCATCCTCTGCATTTCCAGTCAGGTATAATACAGGACAAGAAGAGCGTAACGACAATGCTCACTATGCATCCGCAGCATCGCCGGCTGTCATGATGATAATCGCGTGTCAAGTCGGGCCATGATGATGATGATGATCATCCTGATGATAACCATCATGACGCATCCCCAGCATTACCAGCAGTTATCATGACAATCATCACTACGCATCCTCTGCATTTCTAGTCGGGTCTAACGGCACACTTGAAACGCGCCACGATAATGATGATGATCATCACTGATAATCATCACTATGCGCCCGCAGCATCGCAGCAGCCATGAAATCCTCACTTTGCATGGGTTAGGATGATGATGATGAATGATGATGATGACATCCTGATGATAATCATCACTATGCATCCCCAGCATGAGCAGCAGTTATCATAACAATCATGACTATGCATCACCTGCACTCCAAGCCGGGTCGAAAGGTACACTTGAAATGTATATGAAACCGAAGAATGCTGATGATCCATCACCCAACATCAGTGGTGATGATAAACATTACGAAGACAAGGACGAATACAAGCCCTTCCCATGCGCCTCCCCTGTGGAGAAAGGGGTCGGCGAATACAAGTCCCAGCCCTATTTCATGATTGATTCATGTATGTACGCACCGAGTAACCAACATGCTGTTTTTGCCCCTCATGACGCAGGGAAAACCCAAGTTCCCCACAAAAACCAACAAGACCTTTGCAAAAGCAAGAAGATGCAAGAAGTATTGCACCGGGTTCATTCGCGCCCTGGCCATTTGACACCATTGGCAGACCATTGGTGTGGTAAGTTGCGGACCGAATCCCATTAAATCATTAGGATTCCCGTTGTTGGCCCACAAAAGCTGGGAGCTTTGACTACCATTGTTTTCCATTCATGGGAAGGCATCCAAATCAGACTACCGAGGCTACACAAAAGTATACACATTTAGTACCGACCACCAAGTTGCGCTGACCCAATTGTTTTAAAAGCAACAAGCGGAAAGATATGACCGAGCTAAACCAACCACAAACTAGCTGACCCGCTTTCACAATACCTTTACACCGTTTGATCTGCGTTTCACTTTCAGTTTTGGACTTGTTTGGCGTGACCTTCATTGGAGGGTTCCAAGCGTCAACTTGTGGATTCCCTTTGCTTGGGTCAGTACCGAGGTTCATGCGGGGCCCCGCAAGGCCCGCATGATGCAAAAACGGTGGTTGGAACGATCCAGCAAGTCAAAGCACAGATCTCCACTGAGATGCTGAAGCTGATGAGGGTTAGTTTCAGTGATGCCGCGCGCATCACTTTCCAAGAGATGGAGCAGACATGGGCATCAGAGCGAGAACCACAGATCCAAGACTGCAGGGAGATGTCTTACACGCTGGATGGCTTTCCGATGTTTGAGCTTAATGCAGAGGAGGATGCCTCGCCTGTGCAAGGTGCGTGGCACATGGTATCTATGAAGGTGTGCGATCTCTTCCTGCAGCTGCAAAAAATGTATGCGGACGCATTGATCCAAGTGAGTGAATCAGAGGCAAAGGCGCCGCGGGCCGGGGTTGCAACCAATTGTCATCAACAACAAAAACCATTCCCATGAGGTAGTGCCGCTTGATTCGGCCCTAAGGTTATAATCAAAGAGCGCCAAAAACCGAACCTCTCATTTGCCAACGTTGGTCCATTAGCAATGGCTCCAAAAGGTTAGCCTGTGACTGAGATTTCAAGGTGGCCTGTGACTCAGGCCAAGGTTCTGGAGTTTGTTGCGCCGGTGCGGGAGGAGCTGGATGCCTGGGCGGCCGATTTGGAGGTGCAGGTCCAGCGCTCCAGTTGCGTCCAGCGCCACGCGGTTTTCTGTTTTTTTCTGTCGGTTTCTCAAATAGTGCTCCCCCCAGCGGGGGCAATTTTTTGAGATAACTGTTTCGGGTTATCAGAAACTGGGGTAGTCACCCTTTGACCTACCACTTAGAGGGTGACTTTGATAGTGGTGAAATCATGGGACCAGCCCAGAATGAATTTCCCTCAGCGTTTCCCTTTAAAACCACCCAAAAAGGAGTCCGCCAGCCCTTGTTTCCCTTACCGTGCGCTGGGATTCTGAGGCATGTTCCGTCTCACAGGGCACGCAAAATCATCAAGGCCTCATGGCGGGAAATCATCACTCAAATGCAGGCAGGGTTGGTGGCAAATGTTGTTTAAACAGCCACACCCCACCTAAAGGAAACCAACACAGAACTGAACTGTTTGAACAAAAGCTCTAGCCCAACCCATGCAGGCGCTTCTGCCAGGAACAATGACCAACGCGGCGAAGGTGTTGATTGAAGGTTGTTCAAAGCGACCGGCGGGACATGTTGCCCGCACGCTCAGCGGTTTTCCACCCCTGGAGCTCCCTAGTTGCTTCATGGTGCCTGACGAGCCTACGCTCAGTCAGAAAGTCAAACGCGTGGTCTCCCAGGAGTTATGTGCTCTCTTCCTGCAGCTGCAGCAGATGTACAAGCCAGTTTGCGTGATTCAGGCTTCACCGGAAGAAGCAGCAGTTCTGGAATTTGCCAGCCAAGTCGGGCAGGAGCTGACAGCTTGGGCTGCTTACCTACGGGAAGCGTCTGACTTGCCAGCTTCAGATGCTGATTCGGCAGCTGCAGTGGACTTGGTTGCTAGGGCGCAACAGCTGATTTGGGCAAACATTCAGAAATTGACCGGGCTGACAGGGCAATTCAGCAATGCGGCAAAGGTGTTGCTTGAAGGCTGTTCAAAGCGAGCAGCAGGACCCGTTGCGCGTACTCTGAGCGGATACCCACCCTTGGAGACACCAAGCTGCTTCATGGTTGCTGGGGAGCCTCCTACGCTCAGTCAGAAAGTCAAACGCGTGGTCTCCCAGGAGTTATGTGCTCTCTTCCTGCAGCTGCAGCAGATGTACAAGCCAGTTTGCGTGATTCAGGCTTCACCGGAAGAAGCGGCAGTTCTGGAATTTGCTAGCCAAGTCGGGCAGGAGCTGACAGCTTGGGCTGCTTACCTACGGGAAGCATCGGACGCATCTGATTCGGCAGCTGCAGTGGACTTGGTTGCTAGGGCGCAACAGCTGATTTGGGCAAACATTCAGGGTACAGTTTGGTTAGTTACACAATCAGCAATCAAACAAAGGTGTTGCTTTGAAGGCTGTTCAAGTAGCGCCTTGGGACTAGATTCGCGCGTACTCTGAGCGGATTCCACACCCTTGGAGACGCCAAGCTGTACAGTTGCTGGGGAGCACCTCTACGCTCAGTCAGAAAGTAAAAAGCGTGGTCTCCCAGGAGTTATGTGTAATAACCTGCAGCTGCAGCAGTGTACAAGCCAGTTTGCGTTGATTCAGGCTTCACCGGAAGAAGCAGCAGTTCTGGAATTTGCTAGCCAAGTCGGGCAGGAGCTGACAGCTTGGGCTGCTTACCTACGGGAAGCATCGGAAGCATCTGATTCGGCAGCTGCAGTGGACTCGGTTGCTAGGGCGCAACAGCTGATTTGGGCAAACATTCAGAAATTGACCGGGCTGACAGGGCAATTCAGCAATGCGGCAAAGGTGTTGCTTGAAGGCTGTTCAAAGCGAGCAGCAGGACCCGTTGCGCGTACTCTGAGCGGATACCCGCCCTTGGAACACCAAGCTGCTTCATGGTTGCTGGGGAGCCTCCTACGCTCAGTCAGAAAGTCAAACGCGTGGTCTCCCAGGAGTTATGTGCTCTCTTCCTGCAGCTGCAGCAGATGTACAAGCCAGTTTGCGTGATTCAGGCTTCACCGGAAGAAGCGGCAGTTCTGGAATTTGCTAGCCAAGTCGGGCAGGAGCTGACAGCTTGGGCTGCTTACCTACGGGAAGCATCGGACGCATCTGATTCGGCAGCTGCAGTGGACTTGGTTGCTAGGGCGCAACAGCTGATTTGGGCAAACATTCAGGAATTGACCGGGCTGACAGGGCAATTCAGCAATGCGGCAAAGGTGTTGCTTGAAGGCTGTTCAAAGCGCGCAGCAGGACCCGTTGCGCGTACTCTGAGCGGATTCCCGCCCTTGGAGACGCCAAGCTGCTTCATGGTTGCTGGGGAGCCTCCTACGCTCAGTCAGAAAGTAAAAAGCGTGGTCTCCCAGGAGTTATGTGCTCTCTTCCTGCAGCTGCAGCAGATGTACAAGCCAGTTTGCGTGATTCAGGCTTCACCGGAAGAAGCAGCAGTTCTGGAATTTGCTAGCCAAGTCGGGCAGGAGCTGACAGCTTGGGCTGCTTACCTACGGGAAGCATCGGAAGCATCTGATTCGGCAGCTGCAGTGGACTTGGTTGCTAGGGCGCAACAGCTGATTTGGGCAAACATTCAGGAATTGACCGGGCTGACAGGGCAATTCAGCAATGCGGCAAAGGTGTTGCTTGAAGGCTGTTCAAAGCGAGCAGCAGGACCCGTTGCCCGTACTCTGAGCGGATTCCCGCCCTTGGAGACACCAAGCTGCTTCATGGTTGCTGGGGAGCCTCCTATGCTCAGTCAGAAAGTACAAAGCGTGGTCTCCCAGGAGTTATGTGCTCTCTTCCTGCAGCTGCAGCAGATGTACAAGCCAGTTTGCGTGATTCAGGCTTCACCGGAAGAAGCAGCAGTTCTGGAATTTGCTTGCCAAGTCGGGCAGGAGCTGACAGCTTGGGCTGCTTACCTACGGGAAGCATCGGAAGCATCTGATTCGGCAGCTGCAGTGGACTTGGTTGCTAGGGCGCAACAGCTGATTTGGGCAAACATTCAGGAATTGACCGGGCTGACAGGGCAATTCAGCAATGCGGCAAAGGTGTTGCTTGAAGGCTGTTCAAAGCGAGCAGCAGGACCCGTTGCGCGTACTCTGAGCGGATTCCCGCCCTTGGAGACACCAAGCTGCTTCATGCTTGCTGGGGAGCCTCCTACGCTCAGTCATCAGAAAGTCAAACGCGTGGTCTCCCAGGAGTTATGTGCTCTCTTCCTGCAGCTGCAGCAGATGTACAAGCCAGTTTGCGTGATTCAGGCTTCACCGGAAGAAGCAGCAGTTCTGGAATTTGCTAGCCAAGTCGGGCAGGAGCTGACAGCTTGGGCTGCTTACCTACGTGAAGCACCGGAAGCATCTGATTCGGCAGCTGCAGTGGACTTGGTTGCTAGGGCGCAACAGCTGATTTGGGCAAACATTCAGAAATTGACCGGGCTGACAGGGCAATTCAGCAATGCGGCAAAGGTGTTGCTTGAAGGCTGTTCAAAGCGAGCGGCAGGACCGGTTGCCCGTACTCTGAGCGGATTCCCGCCCTTGCAGACACCAAGCTGCTTCATGGTAGCTGAGGAGTCTCCCACACCCAGTCAGAAAGTCAAACGCGTGGTCTCCCAGGAGTTGAATGAACTGTTCCTGCAGCTACAGGAGATGTACAAGGGCTGTTTGTTGCAGCCCACAGAGGAAGAGGAAAGCTTGTTAGATTATGCAGCCCAGATTGAGCACGAGCTTTTAGGATGCTCGCTGCCAAGCGATGTGCTGGACGGAGGTGTTGACTTCGCCAAGATTTCGGCGGAAATGGTCTCAGGGGCACGGAGGCAGATTTGGGCGGAGATTGCGACTTGCTTGCTCTTGGGGCTGCCCGTTGTCCTCATGTTAGCCTGAAAAGGGGGGGGGTGGCCTGAACTTAGCTGAACATTGTGAAGAGATTCAGCACCAAGGTGAAGCGTGACTCCACGAACGCTGCGAAGATTCTATTCAGCCGGCAAAAGAATCACTCAGAGTCGCAGAAGTCACAGGAGTCACCAGAAACGCATGTTCCGCAGGTGCCACTGCACCACAAAGGCACTTCGGTGAGCGGCTTCCCGGTGTTCCTCTTCCCCTTTGAAGCCGAAAAGCCATCCAAAGGCCCTTTGCGACAAGTGCGGCTTGCAGCCTCGCAGTACGTGCAGTCAGAGTTCGGTGCCCTAGCAAGCAAGTCGGACTTGAAGTACATCCAGGCAGGCTTGCTCCTTTTTCTGTTCGTATGGGCTGTCTGAAAATTAGTTTTTGAATAAGTGTCATGAGTCATGAGCTAGTATCATGAGGGCAGAGGTACATGGCGACTAGCTGGTACCAAGCATTTAGCATTGAAAACTACACCATAGAAACCGTGAAGCATCCCAACCCCCAGCTCAGGTCGGGCCCAAACAAGCAAGCTGCATGTTCCGTTTCAGCGCAAGAGGTGAAGGTTGAGCGTTTCTTGGCAAGATGGGCGTGGCTCAAAATTCAAGAGCTAGGGTTACGCAGGTTTTAGTCTTTGGTTCCATTTACCAAGGTGCCTTATTTGAGCCGCAGCCAGATTGATGGTGTCAGCAAGCAGAGCTCGCAAGTTTGGAGGTGGCGCGAGAGCGATCGTAAGTCCTCAGAGGGTTCTCTTTGAATGTACCGCAAAAGGCCACGCGCGTCGGAGTTGGAAAGATAGAAAGATGCGAATGCTGGTGAAGTGCGGCGCCGTCGCAGTTATCTCCATCGCTAGCTGCTAGTTGGAAGCGCTTCAACGGTGACGGATCGTGACAATCCCTTGTGACAATTCGCGGTGAAATCACTCCCGCAAGCAACATGACATAATATGGTCGTGGACCTCTAGAGAAGCAAAGATGGGTGCGGGGTGGGGTGAGGAAGGGTTGGATGAGTCGGATGAGTCGAATGTGCAGCTTGCAGTGCGACACATGTGCCCTCATGTCCTGCGCATGTGCCCAGAGGGTGAACTTATGCAAAGGCCCTAGGGAGGATGTTCCCCTAAAACCTGCTCCGGATCTTTTCTGAAGTGAGACGCCTGTTTTGTTTAATAAGCCAGGGATTTCATCCTGGGTTCCGGGGTAACACGAGTTCACTCATGATGAACTTCCTTACTTAGCTCCCAATTGCATGTTTTGGAGTTCTTTCAAAACTTGCACTCCGAATCTGTCCCTCACCCGCTCAAGAAAAGTACATTTCAAGAGCGAGCACGCCACTTCAGCGGACAACCTGCAAGCATTCGACGTTGTCAATACAAAGGCCCTGTGCGAAAATAATGCGTCAGCAATTTCAATCCGAAGTCCATAATTTGCGAGATTGAACATGGCTTGGATTTCGTTGGTGTTTCCTTTTTCGTCAGGTCTTTGTACATCAAGTTGACTGCGCGTCTCTCGTTTCTGTGATGCTGGGCAAGGCAGCGAGGCGCTGGGGTGTACTTTGGCGATTGCAGGAGGGAGATTGATAGGTTGTCTCCTCCCAGTTTTGCGCGCCAACACTTTCTTTGCAGAGGATGCAGCACGAACTTGCAGTTGGGCGCTCGCACTCGCGCAAGCCAGAGGGTGCACGGCCTTGGTCGACCCGTCCAATCTGCGAAGGGTAAGTTTCAGCCTGCCAGAGTCGCCATAGCTGTCAAGAAGTCGACATTTGCAAGAAAGGGAGCCAGGATGAGTGTGATCTCTTCTGCAGTTGCGCTCCACGTGATATGTGCATCGCGAGTTTGCTTTATGTACGGCATCATTTGTGTTGCATTGTAGGATGCCCTATGGTGATTGCGTACGCTACATTTTGCCCAGCTTCTCCACATCAGTCAGATGCGTGTTGTTTTGCCTGTGGTGTATCTTGCTCGCCCTTTGTTATGGTTCGCCCTTGTCACCGTGTGAGTGCGTGTGTCGTGTATGTTATGTGCATGCTACGCGTTGGCATTCGCTTTGCACGGGCATCGCAGGCAGCAATGAACGAGTCCGTGGTTACCCACACGCTTCGGTCGGACCCGACAGTGAGCTGCAGAATGGAGGTTGATCGGGACCGGGCGTTGATTTTGAATCGTTTGACCCGGCTCTCATTTCTGGGCGCATCTTTGGTAATGGCAGCAATCCTCATAAAGCCAGTCATACCAAGCCCCGAACATATCACTCCCCAAACAAACCCCTTCCATCTCAGCCTTCCCGGGGTGGTGGCGTGTTTCCCCCAACTTATCAGAAAGCCGCAAAATTGCCAGGAACCGCAAGGGATGGTTTAGGTACCGGCTTCCCTCGTTCCCCGAGAGCCAGCAAAAGTGAAATGCTGAGCCCTGGGAAGGAGGACCATGGCTTGGCAGCGATGGACGACATTTTGGTGGGCCCTGGCTTCGATGGCTTGAATCGGGTCAAGGGCTTGGGCTCCGTTCTGACGGTCTACGCGGTGAAAGAGCCGGGCAAGGAAGCATGGGAAAGCGGGTTTTGGGTTGCCACCTTTGAAGGTGATTTCCCTTCAACAACCCCTTGACAGTGACAAAAAGAAAGGGATGGGCTTGGTGTCACAGAACAGGTTCTTCAATCATGAATCCTTGCTTCTAATGCCAGATGGTAGTGATGTTGAGCCGGTTATGGATCCACGCAAAACAAGGAAGCTGAAAGCGCAGGAAGGGGGTAACCACGACAAGCCTCAGGTAACACCGACTAACTTTGGGGTACCTCGACTAACTTTGGGGGTAACACCAACTAAGAAGGAGAAGGAAAAGGCAGGAACTAAGAAGGAGAAGGAAAAGGAAGGAAAGGAAAAGGAAGGAAGGAAAGGAAAAGGAAGGAAGGAAAGGAAAAGGAAGGAAGGAAAGGAAAAGGAAGGAAGGAAAGGAAAAGGAATGATGCTTTTTGTTCTTTTCATGTGTCTTCTTTCATGTGTTTCTTGCTTCTTGCTTTTTGTTCTTCTCCTTCCACTGTAACATGAAAGATGGAACAGCGCAGGATGCTGGCGACACGAAAGTTTCAATCACGGGCCGAAACGCATTTTTGGGTCCCGAAAACACCGTTCGCACCGTGTTTGAAACTTCTCCTTCAATCCTCTTTCCCTCCTCTTTCTTCTCCTTCCCTCCTCTTCCTTCTCCTTTTCTCCTCCTCCTTCCCTCCTCCTCCTTCCCTCCTCTTCCTTCTCCTTCCCTCCTCTTCCTTCCCTCCTCTTCCTTCTCCTTCCTTCTCCTTCCTTCACTTTCTTTCTCCTTCCCTCCTCTTCACTTCCCTCTCCTTCCCTCTCCTTCTACTCCTTCTTAGTCGTGGTTACCCCGCGACCTATTTCCCTCATCAGTCGGTCCAGCATCGTTTTTCCGGTGGTTGTTGTTGTTGTTGTTGTTGTTGTTGTTGTTGTTGTTGTTGTTGTTGTTGTTGTTGTTGTTGTTGTTGTTGTTGTTGTTGTTGTGGTTGTGGTTGTGGTTGTGGTTTGTGGTTGTTGAGATTGTTGTGGTTGTGGTTGTTGGTTGGTGTCGTTGTGCTGTGGTTGTTGTGCTGTGTTTCTGCTTGTTGTGGTTTCTGTGGTGGTTAGTGGTTTTTTGGTTGTTGTGGTTTCTGTGGTGGTTGTGGTTGTTGTTTTTTTGGTTGTTGTGGTGGTGGTTGTGGTTGTTGTGGTTGTTGTGGTGGTTGTCGTGGTTGGCCCATTTGGGTTGGTTTCCTGTAAATGGGGGGGGGGGGGCGTTTTGCGTTTTACGGGGAACTAGCGGGAACCATGTCCAAATTGTCACGTGTGGGGGTGGTCCAACTCAGTGCCTTAGATCCATTCCATTCGGCAAAACATCCAACAAGAAACAGTGAAAGCAGGAGATCGATCCTCCAAGAAAAAGTCGCCCAACGCCCTGAGGAGACTGTTTTTGGGTCTTTGGGCTTAACCTGGAGACTGCCACCGCTGGGCCCGTTTTTCTTGGCCGAAGAAACAAACCGGAAAAAAAGAACTCAGGTTATATCCCCAACAGCACGCGGTGCTCTTTTTAGTGCCCGCACCACCACGCAGCCCCTCGTGGAACCTCAGTGGAACCCTGGTGGAACCCTCGTGTAACCTTAACCACCCGGAGCCTATCTGAGACCCCAAAGCTTTCAGCTGTTGGGGAAAAAGAAGAAAAGTAGAACAAACAAACAAAAAGAACTCCCTTCCAGGAAGGCCTGGAGGTGCGGCGCTTGGCGGTGGGCCCCGTGGTGCCGTCCGAGAAGGCCACCAGTGGGCACCTCGCCGCATCTTGTGATCTTGCGGATGGCGTTTGGCGGGTCTTGCTTTTTGTTTTTGTTGGCTTTAGATTGTTGATGCTGAGGCGATCTGAGGTGTTTTTTTTTTAAATACTTGGTCATGATGTGTGATGATTTGCATGCGTTCCTTTCTGGTGCTCAGGAGAAATTGAAGGAATTCAGGAAAAACAATCCAACTGGTGGTTTCCTTTAAGGGACCCCTGGGTTCATTCCCAACAACTGGGCACCAGCAAGTTTATTGCTTTGTATCTTGTGTTGTGTTGTTGGTGTTGGTGTTGTTTTGAAAGGCATTGATTTCATTGGATCGTGTTTTGTGTAAGTTTGTTGCGAAGGGCTCTTCCCAAAATTGACTCAAACACATCTTCCATTCACATCGAATCACCTTTAATCTTTCGCATGTTATTCACGATGTGCAAAGTCACCTTGAATCACCGGGTTGTAAGTCACAGTGCGAAATTAGCTTTCAAACGTCCAATGTGTGATTGACAACGTCCCCTTCAAGCTTTTGGGCGTCAGTCACAAAATCGCTTCCACGCAGTTTTGGTATTCTTCCGATGCCGCCCGCAAACGCGCGGAAATCGGTGCGTGGATGAGGCAGGCAGATGGACAGACAGAAGAAACAATTGGTCAACAGTAGCTTTGGGCAACAGGTTTGCTCGCAGACCTCGTCTAAGGTTCCAACAAATTGTCCTTGGGGAGTGGTGATCCGGAGGTCGTGCGCAGTTTTGGGGATCTAATCGCATTGCGGGATGAAATCACATTTTCGGGATTCGGGATTCAGGACTGGGAAGGCCCCAGCCTCGGATTTGGGATTCGGGATTCGGGATTCGAAGATTCGCGCGCGAATCACATTCTCCACCAGCGTCTTCAACATGAACAGTGAAGGGTAGCTCGCAGGGAAGTTTTGGCTGCACTTTCAGGATGACCTACAACTTCATTAGAAATGTGGAGTTCTTTGACGAGGACACGGAGGAGGAAAATCTGACTGCGTTTCTTGACAGCGTGGGGGTGGAGCTCCCAGCCGACCCTGTGGAGCGCAAGAAGGCCAAGTTTTGATGCCGGCGGGTCTGTTCCAAATCAATGAATTCCGGCCGACGGTTTTTGGATACGCGAGTGATCCATGATGCTTTCAGCTTGTTGGCAGTCAGTTTTGGTGACTCACCTCTTCATGCAGCGGGGCTGGGGTCCCGTTGCTTTTCTGTGGCTCCAGCGCGCCTTGCGATTCCAATGCGCCAAACTGGGATTTTGCCCTGGCTACAACTCGGGCATTAAGTCCTGCACTAAACGGGCGATTTGAAATATCAAGTTGCGGCGCCCAAACCATTTGCAGGAAGGGACTGTGGCACATGTTTCAACGGCTCCTTTCGGCGGATGAGGGGTTCCAGTCTCAAACCGTTTCGCGCCGCTAGGTGCTGGTGAAGCTCTACACTTCAAACAAAATCTACCCCAGGCTCAACAAGGCTGGGGTGTTCAACATCAAGCCTCAGTCCTTATTCCACAATGCATGGGTTTCCCTTCTTGAAGTGGTGCCCCACATGGCTCACAGATTGAGATTGGAGATCCCCCAATTTTTGGACGATCCAGACAAGGCGATGTACACAGATGATGCTGAAGAACTCAGGCGACATGCGCCGTACATTCGGGCTTTGCGAGGGGTTTTCAAGCGAGGGCAGAGCGACCCATTGCCTGGCTTCAACTTCTTCATTGGCTCGGCAAAAAAACTCGTGAAAAGATGCGAGCTCACCAAGGAACAAGCCGAAGTCTACCAAATCAACCAGAAAGTTTGCTGGCCGGCCTTCTTTTCCACCAGCGAGGCGGACAAGGGCGGAAATGATGCTTTTACTGGCTTGACGTTCTGCATCCGCTGCCGGGACAGCACAGAAGACCCAAACGAAATACAGGGGTACTTTCCAGCATCTATCAAGCCATGGTCTTGCTTCCCGGATGAGAATGAAGTGCTGATCCCCCCTCATTACATGTTACGGGTCCACAACATCAATTACAACAAACAGCCTGCCAACCCAAAGAAGTGGGTTATCGAGCTAGAGCTCGCCGATTTGCCCCCGGTCTGGGACATCATCACCCAGAAGAACTGGCAAGAATTCAAAACCTGGGCCCAAGCGCATCCCGACTTGGTAGACACATCGAAATCCCACAGCTCCATCATCAATGAAGTGGTGAGCAGCCTGGCAGCCGAACCGAACGAGACCGGCGTGGATCCTTTGAAGGTTTGCTTGGATCACGGCGCCCTACCCAATGAGATTGACATGCAGACTGGAAACACGCCACTGACGACCGTCGCGCTACAATGCCTGGAAAGCGGGAAGACAGAACAGGCTTTAGCTGTACTTGAATCCCTTCTACTGGCAGGCGCAAATCCGTACATCAAGGCTGGCCCACACGAGGAGTCCTTTGAGCAGCTGATGCCCGAGATTGATTTGCGCCTCTTGAATTGTGTGATGGGCTGGCAGTACTGGGTTGATGATGGCGTGGATGGGAAGGAAGATGGCTGGTATCTGTGGTCTGAGGATGGCTCAGCCATGTTAGAGCATGCTTTCCAAGAATGGCTCAACAGTGGACATGAGGGAAGGAGCAAGCTTTTAGGCGTTCGGAGCGACTATTTCTCATATAACGTGGACTTCCTCCACATGAAGCAAGCCAACACTTCAACCGGAACAAAGCGCAAGATCCGGAGATACCGACGAAGGTCCATCCCTTTGTCGCATGATCAACTTCGGGCATTATCCGAAGCAAAGCTCAGGCAAGAGCTGATGCTTGGCGGTGCTTGAGGGGCGAGGGCGGGCCGCTATCTTTTCTTCAGAGCCTTGTGAAGAATTTGATCGGTCAATATGGGGTTTTACATCCATTGCATCCGCAGTGTGGCTGTTCAAGCGTGAAAATGTGCGAGCAGCGCACTTGGACGGTTTGTTGTTTCCTTTTGGGCCCCAAACCGGTAACCCTTGAATCTATAGGTTATCAGCCGTAGGCCCCTAGCTCTAAGCAATGGACGGTTCCCTTGTGCCAGTTGATGGTTCCAACATGCCTGTGGATGCTGCCGGAGCTAGCTCCGACAACGCCACCGGCGGCGGTGTGCGAATGTTCGCATCAAGCGCTAATGCGCAGTACAACCGCACCCTGATGAATTCCCTTCAACTGTACAATACCGCAATCTTTGCTTTTGGGAATGATGCAGCCATTAGGTCTGAAGCCGAAGCCCTGCATCAAGCAGCTGTCACGCATTTGCAAGCGGAAAACCGTGAGGAGCTCCGTGTCGCACAAAATCAGCTGCATGCACACTACGCTGAGTGTGTGCAAGCCCAGTCGCATAGAATTCGTGAATACGAACAGCGAGTGAGCGATGAGTTCATCCAAGAAGTGAACTTCGCTGAAGCTAGGATAAGCCAAGTGTGTGAGGAAAATGCCCAAGCATTGCATGAAGCGGAAATGGGACACAAAACAACTGAGTTTAGGCAAGCCATCGAATCCACCCTGGCGGAAGCCCAGCAGCTCCTTCATGAGCAAGCCGCAAAGCACGCCGACGACACAGCCTGTGTCGAGGCGAAAAACGCCAGGATGATCGATATGATGGCCTACCAAAACGGGCTTCTGCAGGACGAGCTCGATGAGCTGAAGAGGTATCAGAAGCATCACAACCTCCGCAAGGATGGATCGAAGCCCAAAGGGGTAGGTGATACCCGAGAGGATTCACCAGAGTTGATGACCGACGACAGGAAGTCAGCTCGGTCCCAAAGGTCAATGTTGGACCCGTTGTCCCATCCATTTCAATATGCAAAGGAAAAGTTGAGGTCGCTTGTTACCTATGACGGTTACGGGGTTGAATATACCCCTAGCGTGATTCCAACTGCCGAATGCGAAGCACTGCCCACAGATGCTCGCGATCCGCAAGGACCAGCTGAAAAGCCATCAGGTAGCAGCCGATCCCCGGTGAAAACAAGTGCACCGGTCCCGCCCCTGCAATTCTCTCAGGGGCCAATGCCAAGTGACCGCAAGCAGGGTGGTAAGCCTCCTGGCGGTCCGCGACGTGATGATGATGGCGATGGTGATGAAGATGAAGGTGATGGCCTCGGGCCTAACCTTGGTCAAGAAGCATTCGCCAAAATGTTGATGAAGTCAGTGAAAGGCCACACGAACGATGAAAAGCCCAGAACCCGCGAAAGCGAGACGTTGCGATTCAAGGAGATGCCAACTCCTGAAACGTACCGTGAATGGAAGACATCGGTTCGTGAGGACGTCCGCGCTGCATCTGACCGTCCAGACGAGGCTTGGCCTTGGATCATGGAAGTCTGGTCCGATCGCGAGGACAAGAAGAAGCTGTTGGAGGAGCTCGGCGAACCGGGAAAATTCGTGACCCTAGACACGAAGATTCTCGCAGCGCTCACGCGTTCAGCGAAAGGCGATCTGGCTCAGCGAATCCTAACAGCGAAGGAAGAATGTGCCAAGGAGGGAAAGGCCATGAGAGGAAGGCAGGTCTTGTTTATGTTTGACCAATATTTCAAGACCAGTGAAGAAGCCGGAAACCTCTACTCCTTGGAGGACCTGTTGCGTGTCTCGCGACACGGCGAAGGAATCATTGATCTCAAACGTGTCCTAAACGCTTGGGATTCCGTGATCGCCGGCATGAAAAGGCCGCCGGAAGAAAAGGTGTTGAAAGACATCTTGCTTCGCCAAGTGAGAAGCTGCCATCTGTTGCGGTACGACATTGACACATATGATCGTTGCCGTGATGATGATCCCAATAAACCGTACGATTTCCTAATGCGTTGCATGAGGGATCTAATCGAGAGGGATAGGCTTCGCGAGAACCGAGAGCGCGTGTCCAAGGTCAATGCCAGTAAAGCCCCGACGCCCAAGGCTGGTGCTGCCGCCCCTGAAAAGAGGGACCCCAAGAAAAAGAGCGCACCTAAGCCGAAGGACACCGAGGAGAAGTACTGTTTTGACTTCCAGAAGGGCTCGTGCACGAGGGGGGCAAACTGCCCTTACGCGCACCGCAAGGAGCCGCGAGGACGCTCCGCGACCCGCGGCAGGCCAAGTTCCCCCAAAGGCGGTAAAGGAGAGAAAGCACCGTGTTCTTTCTTTGCCCAAGGGAAGTGCACTAGAGGTGACAAATGCAAGTTTAGCCATGCCTCCACGGGCGGCAAATCTGCCGCCGCGGCATCGAGCAACGAGGCCAATGCAAATCCTGCGGCTAAGAAGCGTGCAAATTCACCTAAGCCTAAGCCCAAGGCCCAAGCCGCTGCAGTCTGCACCAGGTACGCCATGTTCGCAAAGCCGATTGATCCAATCGGAGTGTCATTCGACACCAATGCTCATGTGCATGAGATCCCCGCCGAAGGCGATGGTTTCAAGCTTGAGTATGAGGAACGGCAGTACAACAGGATGTTTCCAAGTGCTCAGGACTGCCCTCGGCCGACCAAAGGGACGAACAAGGCAGCGCGCAAGGCCGCGAACCAGTTGAATGCCGTAATCAAAGCCATTGAGAATGGAGCCCAGCCCGCTTGTGGTTTCATGTGCGATGTGGAACCCGATTCCATCTCAAGCCTATCGTGTGATGAGTGCCTGAGAATTGCCATGCCGCCTCACGATGTTCGCAAGGGTGTCGAAGCGCCAAGGGCAGCCACCCCTGCACCAAAGGGAAAGGATGTGTGGCTTATTGATTCCGGTAGTGAGCAGGACCTCATCAGCAAAGCTGCACTGAGTAATGCGTCCAAGGCAATTCGGAAACAGGCCCCTCAGCCTATTCGCCTTGTGACTGCAAACGGAAACATCACTGCTTCCGAAATCGCCGACATCAATGTCGATGCATTGTGTGAGCCTGCTCAGCCTTACATCCTCGAAAGTTCTCCCGCAGTGCTGTCGCTGGGTGTGAAGTGTCTGGATCAAGGATATTCCTTTCATTGGGAATCCGGGAAGGCGCCAACCATGGTTCGCCCTGATGGTGCTCTGATCCAGCTCAAGGTTGACGGTCATGTGCCACACATGGATTCTAGTTGTGAAGCTGAGCCATCATTGAGTGCAGTAGCAGCATCCAAGCCAGCCCCTGCACCGGTTCATGACGAAGGCATCGACGAAGGTGATGATCCTGACGACGAAGTTGAGCGGTTTGTGAGATCCCGCAAAGAGCAAGATCTGGCTGCCGAAGCGAGTACCAAAGAGCGCTTGTTTGCACACTATCCGAAGAATCCCTTTTGCCGCACTTGCCAACGTGCCAAGATGCTTGCCCCATTTGCAAGATCGAAGGGCGGGCAGGGAAGGCTCGAGACGAAAGCGTTTGGAGATCACATCATTGCTGATCATGTGATCCTCAAGGCCAACATCGAGCAAGGTATCAAAGGTGAATTGTGTGCTCTTGTGATCAAGGACGTGCATACGCAGTTCAGGTACGTTTATCCGTCGACCAGCAAAAGCACGGAGCAATCCGTTGCAGGGATCCAGCATTTCATTTCCGGTAGGGATGAGGTTGAGGTTCTCTACACCGATAACTCCCGGGAATTGAAAGCCGCAATAGAGCAGTTGGGGTACCGTCATCAGACCTCCATTGAATATGTTGATTCTTCCAAATCTTTCGTGGAAAGGGAAATCAGACATCTGTTGGAGGGAGCACGTGCGAATCTTGTTCAGTCAGGGTTCCCACTGTCGATGTGGCCATTTGCCATCCAGCACAATGCAGTTGCGACCAACATCCTGCCACAGTTGAACGGAAACGATTCGCCATGGTACCTCAGGTTTCACAAGACCTTTGATGAAGCTGAGATACCTTTCGGAGCAAAGGTACTGTTCTGGAACAACCCTGCACGAGCTGACAATCAGGCAGGCAAGACTTCGCCAACATCAAATGAAGGCGTGTTTCTCGGGTACCACATTCAGCCTGGGTTCGCATGGAAAGGCGAGTTCCTTGTTGCAAAACTAGAAGGGCTCGATTACCACATCGAACATGCGTCCCTCACGGTACAGCAAACAAAGCGCATTGAGCTTCCGACTGATGAGTTCATCTTCCCGATGAGGTTGTTGAAAGACCCTGCATCTCATCCACCTGTTGCCGATGCTAGGACACGAAACGACCCTGTGCCGTTGGAGCGTGGGCAAGCCCACATCGAGGGACCTGCCGCATCGGAGAAATCCGAAGCGAAGATCAAGCCTGTCGCGCCTGACAAAGGCGGTGCATTCGACCCAAGCATAATGCCTGATGGGTCACCAGTACCCGATGGCTATGTGTGGGATGGGGTTCGGCTCGTCCGTAGGAAGGCTGGATCCAAAAGGCCTCCCGATATCCCGTCCGACATGTGGGTCATGCTCGGCAGCCAGGACCGAAAGGCCCTAACCCAGCAGTATGAAGATCAGCTCCGTGCAGATGCCAAGAAGGCTGTGCTCGAGACAGCAGTCTCATCGGAGGCCAGATCCGAGCACCCCGAAGCCGCATCGAGTGCAAAGCCGACCAGCGCCGCCCGCGAGGGCGAGCCGACATTGCCTGTGATCCGGCACGCGCCTGCGATGTCCGTTCTTCCGGAACGAGACAAGTCATCAAAGGAGCCGCATCGCCCGCAATTGCGTGAGTTGGTCAAAGAGCGAATCAAGAAAGTTGAATTTGATGTTGCTCTTGAACTGTTCAGTGCAGTCGTTGCTAGGCTCGTGCCAAAAGCCGAAGTAGCCAATACGCCAAAGGCCCAAGCTGCCCTTGACAAGGAATGGGAAAACCTTCGAAAGAAAGGCACTTGGGATGAGTTCAGAGTAAATGAGTGTAGGCGCGTCATCAGAGAAGCCCAGAACAAAGGTGAAAAGGTCCACATTGGAAGGATTTTCGAGGCTTGTTACGAGAAGGGTAGCGAGCTTCCCGATGATGATCCCAACAAGAAATTCAATTGAAGGACCGTTTTCCAAGGAAACAATGTTTATGATGAAAACTCTGTTGCAGCATTATTTGCGGAGCTAGGGTCCAGCCCAGCGTCAATGGAGGCAGCCATAATCCTCGACGCTTTCGGGTCGCAGCCCGGCTACCGCAAGGCGCAAGCCGATGCGAAGCAAGCCTACATTCAAGCCCTGTTCAAAGGCGTTCCCACATGGCTTAGATTGCCCAAGAACAGATGGCCCAGCCATTAGAGCAAACAATACATTGACCCCATTGTTCCACTTGTGCTAGCTTTGTACGGACATCCCGATTCAGGGGGGCTTTGGGAAAAGCACCTCGAAGATGCCCTTAGCAAGCAAGGCTTTGTAAGAGTGTTGCCCGAAATATGGACATCCATTTTCCATCATCCGGAACTCGACCTGCTGCTCGTCGTATATGTTGATGACTTCAAGCTTGCAGGACCCGCCGGTAGCCTTGATAAGGGATGGGAACTGATCGGGAAGGTTGTCGAGATCGACGCGCCCGAGCCATTCGGCAGATACTTTGGGTGTCATCACATCGAAAAGAATAATGTCAGATTGTCTAAAGAGGATCACCCTTTCAATCACGTGTTTGAGGGTTCTGCGCAACACGCGGGTGTTTGCTCTCAAAGAAGGACTGAGGACTACTGGGAGCATGATGAGAACACGAAAACGTGGACACGCTATCACTTGCAGCCCAGAAAGTGCCTTTTCCGTCCTAAGGAGCAAATGAGTGCATTCGCTTGCAGCCTCGACCCCCAGCGTGTGACAATCAAAGATCATTCCAAAGCAAGTCCAATTTGCGATGAGTGGTCGCGTCATGCAAGTGATCGCATTTCTGCGGACACCGCGTGGTGGACCGGACGTACTGTGTTTTCCTACGGTGAAAATCAAGAAGCAGCTTTGCAATGCGCATTGCCCTCAAAGCCTGGATCAATGAGAGACAAAACCGCGGCCAAGAAAGAAGTCAAGGTTTCGAAGTTCAAAGGACCCGAAACGATATGCGATAAACCTGTTGGTTGTATGACTAAAGAAGTCAACATTGTTGAGTACGACGTGTCTGATTTCCTCAAGTCATGCGTTGACGCATATTGCGAACTTGCCAAGGTGAACGTTTCCTCGTTGAGTAACGTAAGCACTCCATTCATTGGTTCGAAGGTCGCGAGACCTGTCGTAAATGAAGAGGAGCCAAAGGGCAGGCTACAAACTATCGCTGCAAAGGTACTATAATGAAGATTCTATTCGCAGCCGGCATGGCTAGGTATGACCTGCTAAGAGCCACGCAAAGCCTTGCCTCGCGTGTGAGTAAATGGTCCACTGAGTGCGACAGCGCTCTACATCGGCTTGTGTCTTACATACACTGTTCGAGGGGCCTTAAGATGCGAGGCTTTATTGGGGATAAGTTCTTTGATTGTAGGTTGTGGTTGTTCGCTGACGCGGATTGGGCAGGCGAATATGACTCGCATAGTACAACTGGTTGCACCATGGTACTGGTAGGGCCAAACACGTACTATCCACTGAATGCCTTCAGTAGGAAGCAGACAGCGACCGCAACAAGCTCGACTGAAGCCGAGGTCATCGCTGCGAACCAGGCGCTCAGAGCAGAGGGATTGCCGACGCTGTCGCTTTTCTGTCAGCTCAGCCTGTTTGGGAAAGAAGCACATGGGTATGCTCAAAAAGCTGGAAAAGCCTCCCTTGATGTGCCCGATGGCATTGTTGCTCGCATTGATCCCGAGTTGGATGAAATTCGGTACGGAAATGTTGATGCGGGTACAAGTGTAGCAAGCATCAATGCCCTAACTGTGCATCTCAGTGATAAGTGGAAAGTCAAGCTGATGGAAGACAATCAGGCCACGATCACTATCCTGCAGCAGGGACACTCACAGAAGCTAAGGCGCACGGATAAGACCCAACGCATTAGCTTTAGATGGCTCCAGGAGCAATTCGTGAATAGGCAGTTCGAATAAATGTTGACACTACCCTCCAAGCTGCAGACATCTTGACCAAGGCGTTTGACAGCACCCCGGTGTGGCACCACGCACTTGAGCTGATCGGTATCTCCCCCAGTCGCCAGGCGCGAGCCTGTGCCACCAGTTTGCTGCTCTCCCCATGCGCCAAGGCCGGAGAAGTTAGCGATCAGGGGGGGCAGATCGCTGCGTTACGCAACGTTCAGCCCAAGCGCCTCCTTATTGAATTCTGTTGTTCGACGACCTCACGGCTGGGCGAATCAAGAGACTCTTCAAAAGGTTGCCGTGTCATTCGGGTAACGGAAACCGAAGACGGGTGCTCCGATACGTGCAGGCATTGGTTAGGCCGTGAAATCGCCGAATTCAGGAGCAAGAATCCTAAGGGCGCAATCATGTTCTACGTCTCGTTGCCATGCACTGGAGGTTGCCCGTGGGGTTACGTCAACCAGCAAACTCCCAAAGGTGCTGCTAAGATTGAGGGCCACATCAAGCAATTTCGATCACTGTTGAGAGGGTTCAAACGCATTCTCAATGATGTTTATTCAGATGAAATTAGAGCTGCCTTCGAACTCCCCAAGGCGTGTCGTTATTGGAAATGGCCTGAACTATGGAGTTTCTTAACTAAGTACAAGATGAACAAGTATGAATTCCATGGTTGCAAAATCGGCATTAAAGGGAGAACTGGAAAACCAATGAAAAAGCAATGGGTCGTTGCCAGTAATATGCCCACTATTTCCGTTGTTGAGTACTTCAAATGTGATGGTTCTCACGAGCATGATGAAAGCCGTGGCACTCACCTGAAGGAAGCCGAGGGATACACGTACATTTACACTGATGCCGTTCACAATGCATTTTCCGAACATGCCACCATGCAGCCGTTGCTTTCGAGTAATTGTGCTGCATCGTTTTCGCAATGAGCGGCCCAACGGCTATGGCGCATCCCGCGAGGGATTGCGATCCGGCATGGAGGAGGTGGATGGAGAATGTTGCTACCACATCGGTATGCACGAACGGCAAGTACGACGTTAACCTCGCCGCTACGGTCAAGGGCCTCCTGGAGACGACCTCTGCACAGTCGCTTATCCATACATGGGTGCAGGACCAACCGCATTATTTGCAGTTGCTTACACCCCTGTTAACTATTAGCGAACCTTATTTGAAGGTTGTGCAGGCCCCACGTGTACCAGATCGCGACCTCCTTATCTATGTGACTGTCGCTGACTCAGGACTGTCAATGGTTTCGGGCAAGAAGAAGAAGCTCCGCAAATATGATTTTACAGAACGTTTGGATGCTTCTCGCCCGGCGCGTGTCGGTGCATGGAGGTCAGAAATGCTTTGGGGCAAAGGCCTGCAACAGCTTTGCAAGCGGTTGGCCGCCCTTATCGACGAGGTGCGCACGGACTACCCGACGGCGACCATCGTTCCGATGATTTATTGGAACGGCAATGAGCTTGTTGGGAAGGACGGCATTGAGCCCAGCGGTACCTATCCGTACGACACCCCCGCCGGCGAGGCCACTCAGTTGTTGGCAGACACCAAGAGGCACCTGGCTTGGACCAGGGATTTCGCGGCCCGCAAGGGCTGCGCATGCCTTGGAGTCATGACCGGCGCGAAAAGCTATCTCTACGGCTTCTCTATGATTTGGGACCGTTACATGACGGAAGTCCGGGATTACATCATCGGCGACCCCAATCATATGTTCGTGTACGTAGATGCCACGCCCTTTGTCGAGACCATCGATTTGCTGGACAGGTATCATATGTGCTTCAGTGATGACAACATCACGAAGACCGTCCAGTCGCAGGCCCAGCGCACTCTGGGAGTTGGCCTTGGATCAACTTCGGAGTCGCGAATCGCAAGGCTCGCGTATATCAAGACAGAGTTGGAGTTCCTGCCCAATGAACTTCAAGATGCGCTTTCCTCTCGCTGGATCATAATGTTCCAAGGGATGCCTTATAGTCCAAGAGCTTTCATCAACGTGGTTTTTGAGCAAGACAAGCCTCGCAGCATCGGTTGTTGGAATGGCATCATCCATCTGCGAGGCAACACGTTGGACGACCTCCGCAACGAGATGGACTGGATTTTCAGCCAGAATGAGCGGTATGCACGTAACTCGATTGAATTTTCGAGGAACGAAAGCAGCAAGCACCTTGCTCGCAATGCAGCCCGCTATGCCGAGCCGAGCGCTCCCGCCGCCCGCGAGGGTGTGCATTGGAGCCGTGGCAGCTGGCAGAACTGGTCCGAATGGAGCGGATGGGGTGACAGTAGCGGAAGCTATTCGACTTGGCAGCGGCGCTGAAAGCGCAACTGTCATGGTTTGCATGAAACAATGGTTCCCCTGACCTTCTCCATCTGTTGTGTTACTGTTTGGCTGCTTTGTGAAAGGCCCCTTTAACACGCAGAGGGGGGTGAAGAATTTGATCGGTCAATATGGGGTTTTACATCCATTGCATCCGCAGTGTGGCTGTTCAAGCGTGAAAATGTGCGAGCAGCGCACTTGGACGGTTTGTTGTTTCCTTTTGGGCCCCAAACCGGTAACCCTTGAATCTATACCTTGCGGTAGATCTGATGTTGTTGGAAGCCGAAGCTTGCTCGTGAGGCGTAAGGCGCAGCCGTAGGTGTTTGTCGATATATTTGTGGTGTAAACGCATTTGACTCCGTGTGAGGCTGTGTTGGGGCAACACTGGCTTCTTGTAGGGGCAGGCCGGCAGGCCAGTGTTTAGTCGGTGGTAGTCTGAATTGTTTTGGCCTGAGCAACTTGCTGCCTTAATGACTTAGCGAGGCATCTCTCGCAAAGCATCCAAGAGTGTTAGTTAAAGCATCTAGCCTTTTGCATCAGGACACTTCTGCAGAAGCTCCTCATGCGAGCAGCCGTCGATGGATTGCAGCAAGCCACGTGTCATTTGCAAGATGCTGCGGACATGCTGTCCAGCTTGTCCCAGATGGTCTCTGCGACTGAAATCTCTGCAGTCAGCAGTGAGTATGAGAAGCTGGTGCTGGGAGACCTCGAAGATGAAGCCAAAGAGACCAAAGAGACCAAAGAGGCCAAGGTGAGCAGGGTCGGGCAAACTTTGTTTAAACAACTAGCCGTTGGTTTTCCTTTGACGGGCAACAAAAAAAAGGTGGTTGCTAAAGCAGCTAGTGTTTAAGCAACTAGCGGGGCGCCCACGGCTCTTCAGGCGAGCCTTCTGAACCTGCAGGAGGCTTGCGACTTGAACTGGGACACGCGAGAGAAGGTGACCGAGGTTGTGAAGCATTTGCGGGATGACCCTCATGTGAAGCTGGCAGACGATTTGGTTGAGGGAGCTGAAGCCTTTGTGACGAGCAACAATGTATTCCAGAGAGATGGGATTACGCATGCAGGATTTCGGGCCAGCCTATCTTGGCAGAATGGTGAAAAACGAACAGACTTGGATATGTGCATGACTTGCCCAGAATGCAATATGCAGGTTTACCACGAAGAAAAAGAGTGTGGGTGCACAGAAGATAAGCTATGCAGGTTAAACTTGGACATTGACGACCGAGGGACACCCCACAAGAGTTCCGAGGAGAACTTGTACATGCAGGAGCCGGGTCCATTTAGATACAAGCTCGAAGTGGAGCTCTACTCCGGCCCGCCTGTTCCCTTCCGGTTGCAAGTTCATCGACCCGGGCAGGCGCTCAGAGTCTACCGTGTTGCGCCTCACACTACGCCGCGTAGTGGAGGAAGGATCGTTATCTTTGAGGCAAGTGTTGCTGAAGGCATCATGCACCTCGAGTCTTGCCTTGAACATTTGGATGTAATGTTGAGCACTGATTAACGCACAGCCCTTGGAAAAACGCGTGAAGAAGGGACACCACGCGCCTTCCAAAAATGAACTGAGTTGTGTTATATCATGGTGCTTCTTGCGTCGACATGTTGTTTTCCAGAAACTGTGCCTCACACCACACATGCTGCCTGCAAATTCCATGTTGCATTGCTGCATGCTACTGCGTACATGCTACTGCATACATAAAGAATTGGATAAATATATATATTTGACAAGTATAGATACTTTAGAGCCTCCGGCTCAGTCCGCCGACATTGTCCTCTCCCTTTTCTCCTTCTTTCTCTCTCCCTTGTCTCCCTTGTGTGTTCTGTCGTCCTCTCTCCCTCCCTCTGCTCCCCATCCCCCCCATCCCCCCAAGCCTCTCTCTCCTCAATCTCCCTCACTCTGTCTCTCTCTCTCTCTCTCTCTCTCTCTCTCTCTCTCTCTCTCTATCTCGTTAAAATCAGTTGTTACTTTGCTTACAAGTGCAAGTGCTGTAGTGTTCAAACAAACAGTCAACCAATGTAGTCTGCAGCTGCCAACCTTTTGACTCATGCGGAGTAGTAAGCTCTAGGCCTGCGGTAGTGAACATACATGCAACAAGAGTGCAAAGTGAAGCATGTAGTTTGACACGGCCCCTCAGTTAAAAGGTCTTTGTAGTACCATTTCAACTGAAGTGCAAAACATGGATTGACAGTAGTGATGAAAACCATTGTTGTTCATCAATTCTACTGTATTGGCAAAAGTAGTGACCTGCGCTCAGTAGTTCACGCTGTTCAGGTTCCAGCTCGATGTAGGGCGCTGGACGGAAGTAGTGAAGGCAGGCGCTCGTTGTAGTAGAGCAGGAGCTCAAAAATGTAGTCCCCATTTCTGGGTGCGGTAAGCTTGGACCATCTGTAGTCGACTGTCCAAGGTCGCGTAGTAGTTGGTGGTGAAAAAGGTTGTCATGTAGTTTGGAGCTCCCCGTAGTCGCTCATCATCAATCTCGGGACACGACATGTGTTGGTCGTAGTCCCGTAGAAAGCGGTGTAGTAGTGCCTTGTGGTGTTGTGTGAGGTTGGTCATTGTGAGTAGTGTGAATCCGTAGTAATGGATGCTTTTGCAGAGGATTGTAGTGATTGCTTTGTGCTGGAAGTCGTGTAGTTGGTCTCGGTTGTAAAGGTAATGGAGTAGTTCAGGTAGAAGTAGTGGCATGTGGTAATTCCAAACGTAGTTGTTCCTGAGGCTGTAGTTGTCAGTGAAGGTGGTCATGTTGTAGTTCACCTTGAAGATGGTCTGTGGCAGTGTTGTAGTCGGGAGGT